AAAGGGTGCATATCGTTGACAATAACAACTGTAGGGTGCACATTGTTTTAAAATGCAAATAGAGTTCTCGCCAAGACGGAGGATGTATGCACAGCAGCATCTGCTGTGCGGGCACCAGAAGTGGAACTCTGTACCCAACTGGCCCAAGACGGTGGCTCGACACAGAACGGACAGACCTGGCCGGCTCCCTCTTGTGCTTCCTTCAGAAGAGCCCGGCGTCGGCCTGGGAACTCAGAGACCCCCGCCATGTTCCCTCTACGTCGCTCCCGCCTTTCCTCTCGGTTCACGCACCGTGCGGTCGGGATCCGGAGTGACGACCCAGTCCGGCCCCCTGTCGTCCCTGAGGGGCGGGACGCGGGGACGGTCTCCTGGGGGCCACGTTCCCGGGCCCCTCGGCGCCGCGCAGGGTTTCCGACGACCTGGTTCTCCGCTGTACCGTGGGGCCCGGCAGTGCGCTTCCGGCGGCGGCACTTCCGGCGGCGCTGTCTCAGCCCCCGAGCCCGGGGCTTCCTGCCGGTTCTCTTTGCGGCCGCAGCTCGGCCGCTCGGCGGCTGTGTCCCGTCGCGGTGTTTGCCGCCTCGCGGAGCGGGCCGAGGCCGGCGCGGAACCGGAGCTGGAGGCTCTAGGCCAGACTAGGCCAGACCTGGTCGAGCCCCGGGGCAGCGCCACCCTCACACGGCCCGGCGGGCTCACCTGCCGGGTCCGACAAGGGGCGCGGGCTCCTTGTCGGGCGCCGACCTGCACCAGCTCTGCCAGGCCGGCGTTTACTGCAGTAGCAAATGAGGGGGTAAGGCCCAGAGACCGGGAATGACGTGTCGGAGTCGCAGCTGGAAAGGTGGGGGGAGGGCAGCTGCACCCCGGTACTTGCCGACCCCTGTCCTGTAGTCATATCGTCGTGGGGACATGTCCCACCCGTGTGTGTCGCGCGCGCGCGCCCGGCAATGGCCGAAGAATGGTCAGCTCCAGCGAGTTGAACCTTGTTCAGATCATGCTTCAAGACTGACCGAACCTGAGCCTTGCCCTCTTCTGCCCTCAGTAGAGAGAAGATGCCCAAGTTGCAGGGTTTTGAGTTCTGGAGCCGCACCCTGGGTGGGGCCCGACATGTGGTGGCACCCATGGTGGACCAGAGCGAGCTGGCTTGGAGATTATTGAGCCGCCGGCACGGGGCCCAGCTCTGCTACACCCCCATGCTGCATGCCCAGGTCTTCATTCGAGATGCTAACTACCGGAAAGAGAACCTGTATTGTGAAGTGTGCCCTGAGGACCGGCCTCTCATCGTGCAGGTGGGCAGAGGACTGTGGCTTCTGGGTAGCAGCAGAGTCCTGGCACTTCCTTACTCTGTTTGGGGACAGCATCCTCAGGCTTCCATGCTGGAGGAGGATGGGGGTCTCTGCAGTCCTGCATTGATACACAGTAGAAAACAGGTGCTGGGTCAACTATCCCAAAACTTACCCTTTCTCTGGGGACTAACCCAGGCCCTAGTGAAGGTAGTTTGGGTGACATGAAGGATTTGCAGTCTTTACATACGCATTTCTTTTTTTTTTTTTTTTTTTTTCTTTTTTGAGACAGGGTCTCCCTATAGCCCCAGCTGTCCTGGAACTCAGAGATCCACCTGCCTCTGCCTCCCAAGTGCTGGGATTAAAGGCCTGTGCCACCATGCCCAGCATGCATACCTCACACTCCCAGTGTGGGGGTATTTTCTGCTTTGTCATAAATGTAAATGGTGGGACAGGCCCAAGCTTATTGAGTCACTGTGGGGACCCTCACAGAGCTGGGGCGCCTAGGCAAAGAGAATCCCAGGCCTGGCCTGACTGTAGGTGACATCCATGTCTTCTGCAGTTTTGTGCCAATGACCCAGAGGTATTTGTCCAAGCGGCTCTCCTGGCGCAAGATTACTGTGATGCCATCGACCTGAACCTGGGCTGCCCACAGATGATAGCCAAGAGGGGTGAGGTCACCTCCACAGTCCTGTGTTGATACCTACTTAGACCAGTGCTGAATCTAGGCCCCCAAGTAAGGGGTCCTGGCCTGCTCTGGTGGCACCTCAGTATGGGTGGGCATTGGGAGGGCCATCCCTGTCTGATTATGGTGGCCACTGCAGCGATCAGGCAACCCTTCTGTACTTTGTTTTGTTTAGGTAGCTGACAGATAGATCCCCTAAGTCAGGTGTTGACAAGCTGTCTGACTCTATCTCCCCTGCCCCAACCAGACACCAATGCTTTTGGGGCACGTATGTGAAGGTGGTACTTACACATACAGCCTAGCCACAGGGTCCTCAATGTCCCAAGGAGCAGGCATGGAAAGGGTGTTCATGGCCTATGATGCAAGAGAGACAGTGAACCACTTTCATCCTTTTCAGGTCACTATGGTGCCTTTCTGCAGGAGGAGTGGGACCTGCTCCAGAAAATGAGTGAGTTGGCCATGTGCCACCATGTCAGCAAATGAAGGAGCCCCAGAGAACCTGACGGGGCTCATAAGCACAGGCTGCGTGGGGATTCCTCTGGGGGGGGGCTCTTGGCCATAGCACCCTCCCTGCAGAAAGAGGTGGCTGTAATGAGCCACCTGTCCTATACCAGCTACCCCCTGGGACTCCCACAGCAGGTGCTAGGAGTGTCTCTACTCCTTCCAACCCCCAGTGCCCTGGGGAGGGGGCAGCCAGGTCTCTCGGGTGCCAGTTCTCATTGGAAGCCTCACCTGTGTCACATGAACTTGTAAGGACAAGGAAAAGGCCAAGGGCACCTGCACAGCAGCCCAAGAGCGTGGCCCCCAGACCTGTCTTTTGGCAGAGCTAGTGTGGCTCTGTGGTGGGCTCAGGGCCTTGGCTGTCTGCAGGGTTGCAGTTCCCTCAACACCATCTCTTTTCTCAGTTCTTTTGGCCAACGAGAGACTCTCCGTTCCTGTCACATGCAAAATTCGTGTCTTCCCAGAGATTGACAAGACTGTGAGGTACGCCCAGATGCTGGAGAAGGCTGGCTGTCAGGTGAGGGCTGCAGCTCCTGGGAGTGATTGTTGGAACCCACCAGGCAGCCTGGCCTTGGGCTCTGACACTATTCATCTTTCCCTGCCAAGCTTCCAAGATTAGAGGCAGCTCCTGCCCCTCCTGCAGCTCTTGTGTTGGGGATACAGCCAAGCCATTTTCTGTTCTGGAGGACAGTGGATGCCTCCTGGGTGGTCTGATCCCACTTCTCTAGGACCTGCCACCATGGGCCCAGGCCTTTAAACTGTCATCTCTACTCCAGGGTGTTGTCCCTGTGGGAAGTTGGGCTTTCACAAATCAGGCCCCCCAGACATCAGCCAGGGCCTCCTTTGGGCAAACTCTGTCTAGCTTCCCTGGAGGACTAGGCATGGGCCAAGGGGCTCTCAGACCTGGTCTCTTGCCCCTGTCCTGCACACTGAGCTTTGTCAAGTACACCCTGAGGCACTGAGCTTCTGGAGGTGGCAGGAACCACTTTCCCCAGCACCCTGTATCCTCTGTATCCTGGATTCTTCCCACACTTTCCTGGGGTGCTGGCTCTTGGCCCAGGTTTCCTAGTTGCAACCTGGTGCTCCTCCCCAGGGACAGGGTTCCCAGGACCTTGGGGGCTGGGGCCAGGCCTTTGTTCTTCTCAGCATGGGAAGCCAGGCAACTTGAGGCTCCTATGGAATTGGTTTGGGACCTTGGCCTAGAGCAGAATTGAGCCAAACACTGGTATGTCTAGCTGCTGACTGTGCATGGGCGCACCAAGGAACAGAAGGGGCCCCTGTCAGGAACAGCCTCCTGGGAGCACATCAAGGCAGTGCGGTGAGTGGACATGGGAGGGGCGGGGCACGGCACAGTTCTTAGTTTAGGCTTTGTGGAGAAAGCATAAAACTAGCTCTACACCTTGGGGTACTTAGCATATCTGATACCCTGTGACTAGTCAGGAGGGCAGTAGTACCATGGGAGGTAGTATCCCCTAACAAGATGGGAGTTAGGGGGCTGGTCTCTGTCCCTCAGTTTGGCATTACTCTGGTGGGGTGCAGGGTCAAGTCTCTCTCCCCCTACAGGAAGGCTGTGGGCATCCCTGTGTTTGCTAATGGGAACATCCGGTGCCTGCAGGACGTTGAGCAGTGCATCCAGGATACAGGAGTGCAGGGGGTCATGAGTGCAGGTAAGCAGGTGAATGCCTTAGCCTTTGTCTGTCCTTATAGTCCCGTTTGAGTGGATGTTTTCACTGTCCTGCTCTAATGGACCCAAGTTCTCAGACCATGTTTCCAACCCATGGCTGGCCAGTGACCTGGGTGGCTGAGAAGGTATTCCAGGCTTTTTTCCCTTCCCTCCTCGCAGAGGGTAATCTACACAACCCTGCCCTGTTCGAGGGCCGGAGCCCTGCTGTGTGGGAGCTGGCTGAGGAGTACTTGGACATTGTACGGCAACACCCCTGCCCACTGTCCTACGTTAGGGCCCATCTGTTCAAGCTGTGGCACCACACGTGAGTTGCACTTGGGCAGGGGCTGAGTGGATTTGCCAGACATAGTGTCATAGCCCTCCCTGGTCAGGGGGTGTCTTCCCCAAACAACTTGCTACCAAATCTGTGCTGAAGGGCCAATGTCTTGGCAGTGAGGGAGGGCAGGAGGCTGGGTGGGAAGAGATCTTGGCTATGTGCCTAGCACTTGGCTGGGGTGGTAACTGGGAGTGACAGGCATCTGCCTCAGGCTGCAGGTGCACCAGCAGCTTCGAGAGGAGCTGGCCAAAGTGAAGACCCTGGAGGGCGTGGCTGCTGTGAGCCAGGCGCTAAAGCTGCGGTGTCAGGCAGGTGCAGGGCTGTGGGAGCCCCAGCAGGTGGTGGGCCAGCAGCTCAGGTCCATGACAGACCTTGGGCCTTTGCAGGAGGACATGTCCAGGCAGCAGGAAGGAATGAAACCAACTGACAACCTGTCTGCTTTCCACTGGATCTGCCAGCCCTACACTCGGCCAGGGTGAGCTCCTGAGCCAGCCCACAGTGGGAGTACACACACGGGCGTACCTTTGCCATTTCCCTGGTCATTAGGTCAGTCAGTTCCTGCTCTTGGGTGAAGGGAGGGAAGGGAAGCTTTGTGTGGAGCAAGGAGCTTTCTCTGTATATGCTTGGCTTGCTGTCTGAGCCTTGCTGGTTATCATAAGTGAACACTTAGCTCAGGGGATCCTTATCCAATGTCCTTGAATCCTGTGTGTTTTTGTCCTTTTGGGGTTAACAGGTACACCGTAGTTATGGTGTCCAAGGTGAGGCAGCCTGTCATCTTTGATCAGTTTGCCTGGACTTAGTGGCAACGACCTTGGGCCCAAACTTTAGATGTCCTTCTACAAGGTCCAGCGTCTATGGTAGCTACTCTGTTGCAGGGGCTGCCCACAGACCTGTGTCCCGTGGTCCTGGACAAGCCCAACTTTTGCCTAGGCAGCTAAGCACAGATAAAAGAACTGTTCATGTCCTAGGCACCAGTGCCTGTTATGGCTGACCAGCCCCTCCTTGCCCTGGGACCCCACCTGAGCTTCGGCCCATTTGGTGGCCAGCTGGTCACCTCTTAGGGGTGTCCTTGATTCTGCTCACTGCCCTTTCCTTTCAGGCCTAGGGAAGGGAGCAAAGAGAATAGTGGTGGCCGAAGCAAGCGGGCTCTAGAAGAAGAAGAAGGCAGCATGGAAGGCTTGTCCAAGAATAAACAGAAGAAACAGCTAAGGAGCCCTCATAAGACTTTTGATCCCTCCCTGAAACGTAAGTGGTTCTCTTGCTGCTGAGGCCAGGTTGGCTGGGCAGGCTGCCTGGAGGCCTCTTCATTCAGGCTCTGTTCATAGAGTTTAAAGCCTAGGACCAAAAACATGCCTAGGTACACCTTTCCCAGGGTTAGACCTTGTGGCTGACTTTAGGTTTGAAAGGCCGTTGAGTCTTCCTTATCTACTGTAGTTGCTATAAATGTACTTAATGCATCAGATAAGGGTGTCAGTCTCCTGGCTAGGAGCTGTCCACAGATGACCACAGAAGGGTGAGGCCCAAGCAGCCATGAAGAGGTCCTAGGGAGTAGCTAGCTAGGGTTGCTGTGCATTTGGATAGTGGCTCCAGTCACAATCCTGGCCCATATAGGAGCGTAGGTACTGGCCTCTCCCCCAGAAACTCGGGACTTTTCAGTGTGGTTTCTAGGTGTGCAGCTTTGAGGTCTGTCTAGTGCAGTCCCGAAGAGCCCTGGGCCACTTCAGCACTTGGGCTTTCACCCTGGCTGCTTTCCTGGGGTCCAGGTCTGCAAATGTGGTCAGATAGCAGAAGAGGCTCAGGACCTCGCAGCCCTGCACGAGCCACTTTTACACAAAGAACACACGAGCAATTCTTCCCGCCATTCTGCACCACAGGAAGTGGGGCTTCAGGGTTTCACTGTGTAGCCCACACTGACCTCCAGCTCACAGCAGTCTGAGTGCTAGGACTAGACATGAGCCATCACTCCTGGCTGCCCTTCTTTCAGTGGGAGACAGGGTGACAGACCTAGGCTCTGGAATGTTGAGGGGCAGCTCTTCCTACCAGGGTCCCCAGCCTGTCTCACTGCACTGCTGCCCCCCAAATCCTGTCATACCAGCTACTCCCCTGCCCTCAGTTCCTGGCCCCAGTGAGCTTTGTGGTGGTGGCAGTCCTTCATCTGGCCAGCCCTCCTTCTGTTCCTTTTTCTAGCCAAATATGCAAAGTGTGACCAGTGTGGAAATCCAAAGGTGAGCTGGTCCATCTGTGGCTCTCCTGCAGGGGTGGGTGGGCAGGGCGGTCCCCGCAGATGTCTTAAACGCTTTCTGCTGCTGGGACCTGATACTGCCTAGCTCAGAATTTGGATGTCTGCCTCAGCTCACTAGCTTTCCTGTATACAGGGCAACAGGTGTGTGTTTAATCTGTGCCGTGGCTGCTGCAAGAAGCGAGCATTTAGAGAAGCAGCAGATTGCCCAGGTGAGCAGATGCTGCTGGACTGGCCTCTCCACTCCTAGCAGCAATGGTTATCTCAGCTTCCTGACCCCATTCTTTCTCACTTATGCCAGGTCACGGATTGCTTTTTAAAACCAAATTAGAGAAGTCTCTGGCCTGGAAAGGGACCCAGCCTGAGCCGCGAGAGCCTCAGCAGGTGGGGCCCGGAGCTCTGGCCTGAGCTGTAAGAGCCTCAGCAGGTGGGGCCCGGAGCACCCACCAGGCAGCTGCTCTCAAGTCATGGGCAGTGCCCTGGCCTGAAGGCCAGCAAGAGCCGTGTCCATCCCAGTACAGCTACTGAAGCCTGGACACTTCTGGAAATGCTTCTACTCAGGGAATCTCCTGTTATGTGACACAGAAAGACATGCTGGTGTCTTCCCCTGGCCCAGGGGCCTGGCAGTGTTGCACCAAGGGCAACCTTGGCTGGATCTAGTCCTGTCCCCACAACTTGTTTACAGCAGTGAACAATAAAGCATTCAGAGATGCATGTGCAGAGAGCTAACGGCCTGTGACTGCTGCCCGCAACCCACATCCAAGGAGGCTGCCTTCCCGGCCTGATGAAGGCTCAGTCAGAGCCTTTGGGATCGTGGAGCCAGAAAAGGAGTATGAGTGAATCGGGGCACAAAAGTGCCTACCTGGGGGTATTGTGGCCTTCTTGCTTCCTCTAACACAAGTGGTCGGTGTCCAGGGGACCTGGGGAGATGGCCTTGGCATGATCAGATCCTCCACAGAAGGAAGGAGCAGAGCCCAGGGCAGTGATCAATCTGCTCTTTAATGGACTACGCTGTCAGTGACAAGCTGCAGTCAGAACTACACACGGGTAGGAGGGACTTGAGGGACCCCTGTCTGGGCATTGCACATAGTCTGTAGGTTTCTACAGAGTCAGGCCTGAGTGGCCATAATGGACAGCCTGCCTACCCCAGCATAGGGCACACCTCAGAGTGAAGGGCCAGTACGCTGGCATCCAGCAGCCAGGTTGCTCTAAGGAACCACAGGGAGTCCGGAGCCTCGTCTCGAGGTGAGCAGGCAGGAGGCCTAGGTGCTGCTTCCATGGCAGGGCAGAGTGGTGACCATCCCGGAGGCCAGGGAGATGCCTCTCACATGTTGGTGCTCATCCGTGACTGGCTGTTGGCTGGAGTTAGCTCACCCTGGCTCCCTTCTCTGGGAGGGGACTGCAGTGGACACAGGGAGGGATTCAGCAGGGCTTGTGTAGGTGCTGCCCATTCCCTGGCAACCCAGGCTGCTCACCTTGACATGGATCTGATTGCGCAGCACAGCTGCCCTCAGGATCATGGCCTTGGCACGTCGCTGGAACTCCTTGCCCATCAGCAGGGATTTCTCAAAGGTGGTACTGCGCTGATCCACATCCCGAGCATACAAGATCTACGTGGGCATTAGGGCAGTCTGAGAAGAGCCCAGCAGGTCTCCGTACCAGGCCCCCAGCAGCACCAGCCTTGCCTACCTTGCTGTGTGAGTCAATGCGGGCGTTAATAAGCCCCTCCAGGATGAGCTGTGTCAGCTCATCCTCCAGAGCTGCCACAGTGGTGTTGAAGGCTGCAGCCATCTTGTGCATGTCAGCTGACACGTAGGGACTGAAGTACTGTAGGGCAGAAAAGCCACAAGCTGCCCACTGCTCCTCATAATGCCTGTACCCTGCCTAGCCTCCATCCCCGCACTTACCTGGATGAGAGCCCGGTTTCGAATTTGGGTGTATAGCGTCCTGACATGGGGGGCCAGGTACATGTCCAAGAGCAAGTTGTCCTGCAGAGAGAAGCTGGTCAAGGGCTCTCCTGAGGCTCAGCCCAGCTGCAGTGTCTACACCCCTGTCCCTTACCTTCATCTCATCCAACATCTTCAAGCATGAGGCATACTTGGACTCATAAAATTTGAAGATGATGTCTCTGACCTGTGGCTCCAGCTCCAGGAACAGCTTGAAGGAGCTGAGGAAGGATACTGGAATACTCAGCTTCAAAGGGGCAGTAGGGCCTGGGCAGGAGTAGAGGGTGGAGAAAGCCTACCACCCAACTTACCTGCTGGAGATGACATTGCGCTGCAGCTCCTGCCGGTCAAAGGTAGCTAAAGCACACAGGCCACCATAGACAGCTACATTGCTAGGAGACAGCAACTGTGAGGCAAGAGGGGAGGTGGGTCCAGAGACCTGGGATCATGGATAGCCAGTGGTGCACAGACCAATGAGGAAGCCCAGAGCTGGGGCCACCAGCCACTCACACAATGCTTAAGACCTCATTCAGGGAGCTTGCCCTTGTCCCCTCGGGGTAGGGCAGAGACTGAGTCCTCATGGCCTCTTAAAGGCCTTGTGTGGGCTCAAGAGCCCCAGATGCCTCACCTCGGGGAAGTCACAGTGGTCAAAAGAAGCCAGAAGGAAGCACTTGGCAGCCTGCTTATACTTGCGTGCAGCCAGCTCAGCCAAGCCTAGGAGACCAGGGAGGAGACAGATGAAGCCAGGCTGTCTAGATTAGTATGGCAGTCAGTAAATGTCCCTCCACCCCCTGGCCTCCTGCCCCCAGTATTCCTCAGTTTAGGGACAGAAAATCCTAGCTGTTAAGAAGTAACAGCATCGCTGTGGTGGCACACACCTTTAATCCCAGCACTCAGGAGGCAGAGGCAGGCGGATCTCTGAGTTCAAGGCCAGCCTGGTCTACATAGTGAGTTCCAGGACAGCTGGGCCTACAGGGAGACCCTGTCTCA